TTTAAGTCCTCACAATAGAGATTTTATTAAATTAGTTGCTTTATAAAACATTGCAGATGTCATAATTGTTAACATAACAATTTACCAAACTAGTTAACTGGTGCAGTTTGCTGAGTATGTTTTATAAAGAAAAGGAAATGCCAAAACCCTGTTAAGTTTTTCTGTTGCAGCCTAGAAGAACAAGATTTGTTTCTCAGACACTTGAATCAGGCAAATAGAAACAGTTCCCTCCCCCCATCTGAAGTCCTCCATCAGTAGAAATAGGCCGATAAATAACTAGACAGTCAATGCACTGGAGCGTCCACCACTGACTGGCACTGTGACAATGGAGAGGTTTACCTTCTTCAGCTTCAAAGTTGAAGGGTTTTGGTCATTAAAATCTTAAGTATCAAACTAGTATTTTTCAGCCACAGTATCTTCACTCTGAGATAAGCAGTCTTCTTCACAACATGTTTTTAATATCCTCACGCTCAAATTTTAGACAAAGCAATTTTAATACTAGGTGCATCCCACATGCCCTTGCTTGCTGCAAACTGCTCTTCTTGACAAGTTATGAAGTAGTTCAAGGAGGTATGGTTAAGGCTGTATTACTGAATGGTGCTGGTAAATACTACACAATTTTCTGTCATGTTGCGACCTTTGTTTCCAATTTAGTGACTGCTGCTATGGAGTCAGATAGCAACAATGACAACATTATTAGGTTTGTTTTGTTTTTAAACTATGATTTAGTAGCAATTGAAGTTCCCAATTTTAACCCCTTGGCAACAAGATCCAAGTTCCCTCATTTGCTCATTAGCACCTGAGTGTCAAGGGGTTAAATAACCAGCACGAAAGATACTGCTCTTCTGATTGTAGCATTTGGCAGAACTGAAAGGAAAGGAAGTTGTGCTACATGTTGAAGGGATTGTGGGCAACAGAAAGAAGACACCAGGAGAAGATAGAATGTCACATGAAGTCTTCGTAGTCTTGTACATATCCTCCATCATATCCACCATAGTCTGCCAGGTCATCTTTCATAGTGGCCTTTAATCCCCCTCCAGGAACCACACCTTTCTTCTTCTTTTTGGCTTTGTTTTGCTAAAAATGAAGGAAGAGTTAAAATTCATGAACCTGCATGCTATGAACATTTCACCTGTCACAGCAAACACTTGAGATGTTAAAGCTACAGCATTTTTGGGGGTTGATGTTGGTGGTGGTTTTTCGAGACAAGAGTTTCTCTGTAGCTTTGGAGTCTGTCCTGGAACTTACTTGTAGACCAGGTTGGCCTCAAACTCAGAGATCCGCCTGCCTCTGCCTCCCAAGTGCTGGGATTAAAGGTGTTTGCCACCACCGCCCAGCTAGGCTACAGCAAGTTTTATTGTCTCAGAAAAGAACGCAAGTATGTCTATGAATGGAGACAACAGACACCACGCTGCTCTTCTGTTCTAACTTAGAATTTCAACAGGCTCTTTACTGTGTTGAGGGAACTCTGCCCACAGCCCCACCCTAACATAAAGCATTTCTCTGTACAGCTTGCTCTTACCTTTTCTTGCTTCTGTTTTTCACTGCAAAGCACAGTCAATGAATTGGTAATCTTTTTCAAGTCATCAATTTCCACTTTAAAAAAAGAGAGAGACGTAATACTAAACTACAATTTTTAAGCATTTTAAAAAATAAAATCAAAATAGATATCCTACATTTGTAACCTAGGTACCTTTATTAAAACAACTATGAATTTCTCCTTCATAAATAAACAGGTAAGTAACTGTTCAGTCTATAGCACACTAAAGTACAATGGTCAACCCAATGAGTATAAGAACTCTTAATTAGCCAGATGCACGCATTAAATCCAGCACTGGGAAGGCAGAGGCAGGTGGATCTGAGTTCCAGGCCAGCCTGGTCTACAGAATGAGACCCAGTATAGCCAGGACAGCAAAACACAGTGAAACCCTGTCTTGGAAAACAAAAGAACAATGTTTGTAAACTCTTTAGTGTTTGCATGGCTTCTTACTGTCTTCCTTCAGTCTAAACAGAGGGGAGACTAACCACAGCCTCTACAATCACTGAGTAGCAGCTACATAGAATATGAAATGACACAAATGATAAGTCTCTGCCCCCTCTATGTTTTCTAGCCCAGGAACAACACCTTTTAGTAGTGGACAAACAGTAGCAGATCAGTTCTTAGATACAGAAAATGTTAGGGTTTCGTTAGCCCCCCACAAAAGAAACAGGAAAAACAGTACATACGTGTAAAATGAAAACCCACCTATGCGTACTCATTACCTACATTGACCCCTGCTTCCTGATCATTCCTCAAACTATGACTCCTAATTCAAGAGCCTTTTGACACTCTTCAACCAGTCCCAAGCCCCTCACCACCCTCAGACATTCTTGGTAATGGTGTCCCAGCATTAAGGGCACCAGTTCTGTTGGGCAATTTGGATAGCATCTCAAACCCTACTTGTATAATCAACAGTTCCCAAAGAGCCCCTAGTCCATTCCCTCTAAAGATACTTTGTAGTCCTTTAGGAGACAATGTGACCTGCTTTGCTAGGCATAAATCAGCTATCTCTTTTGAGAAGCTCCTACACAACAATGAAAGCAGCCTGCCCCCACCCCCAAATACTCAAATTGGAGAACATTCCAAAAATAGTTGCTAAAAAGGAAATCCCAAAAGTCTACATTATATAGCATTAAAGCTTATAAAAAAGAAAAAACTTTCCCAAGTATGATGTTTACAATAAAATCTTAACAAAGGGGGCTAGAAATCAGCATCACTTACATGAAATACAGACATCTCGAACTAAGGCTTCCAAAAAACTGGCATAATATAGTGATTTTTCATATTGTGTAATTTTATCTTTTAGTAACTTTCCAAACTCTGTGAAATCATCTCTTGAAGATGGGTTCATAGCATCTATTCCATAACCTGTATTATTAACACC